AAAAAAAAAAAAAAAAAATCTAACTCCTGTCCTAGTGGCAGCTTAATAGGTGCTCAGTAAATATGTGTTGTATGAAAGAGTGACTGGGAAGTGCCCTCCGCAATCTACTCATTTTTCAAATGGAGAAACTGAGGTGGGGAGGAGGGGAGGATCTGCCTGGAGTCCTGCTGCCTGGGTCCCAGCGTCCTGTCCACGGTGGGCGGGGCAGGAGGGCAGGAGCGCAGGTGGGAGGAGGGCTGGCGGCGCGTGCCGAGCCGTGACGGGTGTCTGGCCTCCAGCTCCTGAGTCCCTCTGGGCATCTCGGATCCTCTGAGCTGGTGCGGACAATAGGGGGCAGCGGCCGCCAGGCGAGTCGGGCAGCAGCTGTGCAGGCGGCAGTACATGTGAGAAGTTTGTGAAAGGAGACGAGAGGAAGAAGGCCAGGCGGACGCCTCGAACACCTGGCCTGGCAGCCCCGCCAGCTGCCTCTCCGCGATGGCATCTTGAGTTCGGGCAGCCCTATCGAAGCCATCTTCGACGCTGCCCTCCCTGCCCCCTTTCCAACTCGCTGAGGTGGGGCTTGGCCAGCGGATGAAGGTGAGTGGGGAGCAGCCGCTGGCTTCTCCAAGCACTCTGCTGCCTGCCTGGCTGCCGGAAGCCAGCCTGGAGCCTGGCCAGCCTTTGGATGCCAGGGAGAGAAGTAAAACCCTGCTCACCCTGCTCCCTCGGTCCCTGGGCTTGGGTGGTAATGGGTAACTAGTGCCAGCTCTGCATGTTACTTAAGAGCACGGCTTCTGAGTAAGGCAAACCTAGGTCCTAATTCCCACCCCACTTTGGGCTTGTGTGGCCTCAAGCACCTTAATCTTCATGCTTCAGTTTTATCTGTAAAATGGAAATAACAATATCAACCTCACAGGCTTAATGTGGAAATTCGGTATACAATACATCTAAAGCACCTAGCCCAGAGCCATGTAAACAGGAACCACTCTATAAATGGCTCTTGTCACCATTATGGGCACCCCCGTGACCAGAGTCCTGGGAGGACATTATTCATGCTCTCACACATTAAACACAAGTGACACTTTTTGCAATGTTTATTTTTATTCGCATATGTTTGCTGTACACAGTGATCACAAATAATATTGAACTCCTACATAGGGCCTGACCTGTAGGCTCAGGCAGTGAAAAGAGAGACAGGCAAAATTCATCTTCAGAGAAGTCCCAGAGTCCTCTAAGGAGCAGAGAGAATACAATCTCTTGTTCTTACTAAGATATAAAGAGGAAGATGCAAAAGAAATAGAGAGCTCAAAGACGGAAAGTTTTTTTTTTCTATGAGTCTCAGTGGAACTTATTGAATTAGGGCAGAGCTTTAAACTCATAATTACAGCAACAATCATAAGTCCCGTGATAAGTATCCTGAGCAAGTTTCACAAGTTGGGAGTCCCAGGTCATCAGCATTCAACTCATGGCTACTTAATATGAAGTCTTTGTGTTCAAAAATCTCTGGCTGTGCACCTGGGGTGCCACATTTTCAAAGCTTGCAGGTGGTTCCCACTCAGACTGAAGTTGAGAGGCCCTAGGCCCAAGAAAGAGGCCCCTCCCCACCATCCTCTTTATCCCCTTCAAGGCTAGTCCTTCTGAAGGGACAGTGCTTTGTGCACTGATTTGAAAGTTGCACATAGCAATTCTATGTCTCCACCAAGCTCTCAGTTTCAGAAGCAGTGCTCTCCTTAGCCGCAGAACTTACAAGACCTAGGCGGCAGTAGTATTCTGCAATACTTGTAGAATGAAGAATATGAAATACTTGTGGAAAGAGTATGGTCCATATTAGTGGCTCTGACATTTACACCCATGTGGTCTTTACTTGGACCTCCTCTGAACAGATTTGTTGGGGGGGGTGAAGAGGGAGGGGGAGAGGAGGTGGGGGAGAGGCTTTAATTGTAATTTAACGCCATGGGGGTGAGCACCTGTGCTCTTCAGTTTACCACCCACCAATGGCCTTTGTGTGTCCCCAACTGGATTTGCTAATTTATTTTACCAGCCCTAAACTGAAGTTTACAGATCCCAGGAAATGCGGAGGATGTTATTATCTGTCTTCTAAGGCGCTCCTTCCGATTGTACGCCGGATGGTGTGTGTCTCCCTGTGTTCTCCAGTCCGTTATCTCCTGGGCCTCCTTGAGAAGCCCGGTCTTTAATGGTGGGTGTCAGCTTACTGCTGGCAGTGCTGATTCCTAGGAAACCTTATGGGAGGGAAGGATGGGAGATGTTTTCTGATTTGTGATCCTAATGCCTGGGAGTGCAAGAGGTAAAGCTATGAGGTAAAGGCCAGCTCTGGAGGTCCAGGGGAGGGTTTAGTTGGCTTGATTCTGTCTCTGACTGCTGCCTAACCTTGATCCTGGTCAGCCTCAGGGAACAGAGCAGAGAAAGCGGGTGGGCAGGGCTGGGACTTTCTCTGCCAGTTTCTGAGGGTTCTGCTTCACAGACAAGCAGGCCATTATGGAGTTAGTGGGTCTTGAGGTGCCATCGACAGGCAGTAGCCCCTTTCTGCTTTCTCTGTGAGCTTCCAGCACTGAGCAGGAACCAAGGCTGAGTGAGGAAATGCTAGTGAGTGATGAAATAATGCTGCATCTGGCTTCTGGGGAGTTGAAGGGTCCAAACTAACCAGTCTCTTGTCAGAGCCAGAAGCACTTGGCAACTGAGGCCTACCTAGGCCAGGTCAGAATGCAGCCCCAAGTCCAGCCCTCCCGAGGCCCATAGTTCTGAAGTGTGTCTCAAGAATCTCACCACACTTTCTCTGAGTCTGCATGCCTGGATCTGCCTCCCCTCCACTGTGCTGCCTGGTTGACAGTCAGTTTCCCGCTGTCAGTTTTATTTATTTTTCCTTGTCAGGTTTAGACCCGTGACCCCTGGAAGGCCAGGATAGAGTCTGACTTGTGTCTGTGGCCCAGCCTTTGGTATTCTGGGGTACTAAAGAATGAAAGAAAGAATGCCGAGGAACTGTTTTCCAGAGGATGCTCCAGGCCACTCCCATACTATCTGTTTAAGTTGAGAAAGAAGAGAGTCACTGACATTTATTCCATGATTTAACTGTGCTGGTCACTGTGCCAAGTGCCTATCTCAGTGTATTCCTGCAGCAGTCATCTGGCCCTTTTACAGATGGGAACGCTCCCTGCAGCACACAGGCATTGAGATGGATGGCCTCCTGGTCTCTCAGCCAGCGAGAGACAGGTGAGTTTCTGAGTCTGAATGCCAGTTGCACCAGGTTGTGATCAAGTTTAGTGTTCATTGCTTTTTTTTTTTTTTAACCATTCTACAAGAACCCAAGAGAACAGACATGAGTGCAATTCCCACTTTACAACGGAGGAAACCTAGGCTCAGAGAGTAAGCTTAGTCTAAGGAATTCCTCTCAGTCTCCTTCAGCTGGGCTGTGTCCTTTTCGGTTTTCTCAGGGCAGCCGCCAGGCAATCAAGCCAGCAAGGACGGAAAGAGAAGGGACTAGTGGTTCCAAGCGGAGAGGGCAGCCAGGATGGAAGCAGGCTTTCCTCTTAGGTCAGGGGTGGTTCTGTCCGCCACGAGGCCCTCAGAGCTAAGATTCTGCCCGGGCACACTCGTGGTGCGCAAGATGTAGCAGGCAGGATGACGTCCTGCAAACCTGGGGGTCACTCCCTGCGAGAGGGAACACAACCTGTGTGTGTGGGGTTTGCTCCAGACGTGGAGAGCGGCTCGCCCCTGCGCCGCTGCAGTCCTGGGATTCCCCATGCATTGTTCACCAAGTTTGCTAGCTTGGGGAAGAAGTGAGAAGAAGAGGGAAAGAGGCTTGGGTGGGGTGGTGGGGTGGGGCCCTGAAACTTAAGCAAGATCAGGCGGCTAAGAGGTCTGGAGCCCTGGAAGTCAGAAGTGGAGCCCTGCACGCAGTCGGCTGTCAATAAATATTTGTGGATGGTTAACTGAGTAAGTCGTTGGATGGCTCTGCTCTTAAGCAAGTGATCTCAGGCTAATCCTCATCCATATAGTGCTTTCCTCATCTACATAGGGTGGCGAGAGGAACCCAAAAGCATTGCTAGCACGAATTAGTAGCTGTTATTTTGGGAAATGGGGCTTGTAAGCTTTGGGAGCCCAGCAGAAGCGCCTGGCCCGATTACTGAGCCCCTGAACTCTCACTGTTCTAAAGAATACTCAGCAAACTTCCTGAGACTGGAGGCCTGGGGAGAGGGAGAGTGGGCCCAGGAGTCATCCTCAAAACAAAGCGAGAATCGAGAATCGCCAGGGTTAGGAGGAAGCCACAGGCCTCCTGGGCCCGGAAAGCAGCTCCCGGCCGCACCCGCACCTGGGGAACTTGCAGGTGGAGGAGGTGGGTCACCAGGGGCTTATTCTAGCAGCCTAGGTTCTAGGCCGGCTGGAGTCTTCACAGAGCAGCCGGACTCTGCTGGACGGCTGGGCCGGGCGCACCGGGAAGCCTGGCCGACGTTGCATGGGGGTGGGGTGGGGATAGAGTAGGTCGTCTGCCCTCGGTCCAGGCGGTTCGAGTTGGGACAGGACAGAGAGGTTTGGGACCGTGGGGAGAAGAGTCCGGGCCGAGGAAGAAAGAATCCGTGAGGTCGGACAGGCTGGAGCCAGCAGGGGCGGGGCGGACCC